CCCCATTGTGTTTCAGTTGTTGCTCATGATATATACAGAAGTCACATCTAGTTTATTGTTCTCACCAACTTTCCTTCTGAGGAAAAAAAAAAAAGTATTTGTGAGCACTTTAGACTAGTATAAACACACACACACACACAAAATATATAGTACATGTTACCTATATATATTTTATATATATGTGTGTGTCACAAATCTCTGTCATGAATCTCTCTCATTCTCTCACTCCCTCTCAAAGAAAGATAAAGCTTTTATTTATATATGATATTATAAACATTTATATATATGTATTCATATATACAAAGTTTTTTTTTTATCACAAAAAAAGTTCCTGAAACGTTCCTACCAGTTAGAGAAAAAACTGACCTGCTACAATTATCTCCCTAAAGCACTCCTGTGAGCACAATTACAAAGTGTTTTTGCCAACCACATCACAAACAATTATTAATGTACTATCTTTAGTTCCATGTTTTGAGCTGCTCCTGGTCCAGGTGTGGAGTGGGAACATGTTCTTTATGGAAACATCTCATTGGATCATCTGCTGACAAAGCATATTTTTAAAGCGTACCCATAATCACTCTAATTAGGCCATCAAATGTCAGGACTTGCTGTGTGAATTTGATTAATTCTAGCCATCTCTGTGGTGCAACTGAGGAGCGACCCGACCTTAGAAACAATTTCCTTATGCTATGCCCTTTCCCCCTCTACCTGTCCATACTGAAAAATTGTAAGGAAAGTTTGCAATGCTGCCCTTGTATGTCTGTGAAACTTCCTTTCAGCTGGGAGCCCAATCACATCCAAACCCTTTTATAGGCCTTCAATACTATTGCCTTTTTACCTTTTGGAGACACTGAATTTATAACACAACTTGGAATATGTAATATGTAAGGTAGATTGTTTACATATCTCTAACTTCCACTAGATTGTGAGTAACTTATTTGCCCTATTTTGGTTCTCTCTAACGGACAAACACGGTGTTCTCAACGCTCTAGCACAAATATTTGACAAGGTTATACAGAAAAGGGCATGTGAACACATCTGATCCTCCCTCCCCCATTCCTCCCCATCACCACCACAAAGCAACTGACGAAAAGAACAAAGAAAACAAAAAACATGGGGATTTGTTTTCTTAATGAAAACATGCCTTATGTTGTTCACTAAGGGAACTTTTTAAAACTTAATTATCATCGTGCCTTTGAGGAAATACTATTGAATGGAGGTCACTGTGATGGTTATTCTTGGGTCTTCACTTGGCTAGACCATGGTGCCCAATTGTTGGGTCAAACAGTAGACTAGATGTTGCTGGAAAGGTATTTTGTAGATGTGATTGATATTTACAATCTGTGGGGGCGCCTGGGTGGCTCAGTGGGTTAAAGCCTCTGCCTTCGGCTCAGGTCATGGTCCCGCGCATCGGGCTCTCTGTGCAGCAGGGAACCTGCTTCCCCCTCTCTCTCTGCCTGCCTCTCTGCCTACTTGTGATCTCTGTCTGTCAAATAAATAAATAAAATCTTTAAAAAAAATACTTAAATCTGCGGACTTTAAGTAAAGGAGATTACTCCAAATAAGGTGGGTGGGCCTTAATCAGTTGAAGGCCTTATGAACAAAAGTTGAGGTTTCTGGGAGTAGAATAAATACTACTTCCTCAAGATCATAACAGAAAACCTACCAATAGATTTTGGACTCAAGACTGCAACTTCAACTCTTGCTTGAATTTTCAGCCTGCCAACTGGCTGCTCTACAGATTTCAGATTTACCAGCACCCACTATAGCATGAACCAATTCCTTAAAATAAATCTCTCTCTCCATAACGCATCTTATTGTTTCTGTTTCTCTGGAGAACCCTGACTAACATTGCATTTCAATTAGTTCTTTCTTTTATAATACTTCTGAACCTTTTGCTAATTGCCTATACCATATTCTTAATTTTGTTACATGGAATAAGAGTCAGCGTTTATATACTACTTACTAATAGAAGTCAGTTTCTCTGTTAGTACAAAGAACAGAAGAGTTGTGAAAGGAACTCAACGACAATGGCACATGTCCTGCCAAGCAGGGAAATTTTACACCAGAGGTTTCCAATATGAAGCTCTATTTGAGCCCAGATTGTGCCGCCTATCTAAATATTATACCCTATTCCCTAAGCTAGGAACATTTTCTTAAACTGGTTTATACAAATCAACAAATCTTAAGCAATTACCAATAAAGAGTCTGAGTAGTTTGATAGAAACATTTTCTTCTAAAAAAGATGTGCCACATTTGGGGCATGGCTGGGGCAGGGAAGGAGGGTTTCAACAATTAATGCAACTTAAAATAGGGGGTTAGTGTACCCAGTCTCCATTGCCTCATTCATCAAGAGAGTTTGTGTTGTGACTCTTGGAAGTCAGTTTTATTGCATGATGTAATGGAGAAAATAATGAAGGTTACAAATTTTCTTTATGCTTATGTTTTCTTAACCACTGCCAGTTTATGGACATTTAAGAAGTTGAAGCAAAAAATGTAGATTTAGTTTCTTTTAATTTAGCCAAATGGTTAGGTCCTAGAAATTTCTGAAGAAATTTATTAAAGTGTTTTTAGAATTAAAAAGTCTTAGATCCCACTTGGTAGACCTCCAATGGCCCTCAGAGGCTGCACAATTTTCCTCAACATTACCTAACGGAACTCTCTCTGTCCACTATAAAAGCAAGGGTTTGGTATTTCAATTTAAACTTGACGTGTGGATTGAGACGATGGTATTTGAAACCGTTCTTTTACAATGCCGAACTTCTCTGAGCTCAAAGGAATAACAGATTTTAAAAAGTTACACAGTTATTTAAGTGGAAAATAAGTCCTGATTATGAAAGCAAATCAGATTTTGGTGACTGAGTGAGTCGTGTTCTCTATGACTCTGGGATACCACCACAAGATATGTGTGATTATAGACCCCCTGACCTATTATGGAGGCTCATTTTCAAAACACACACACACACACACACACACACACACACGCTCTTGCCTTAAAACTTATTGTAAAACTACCATACCCATTAACACACAGTATTATTGAACATTGGAGTTAACTATGGAAAGGAATCAACTGTGAAAGGAAAAAAATACATATTAATGGGTAATTGTATCAGCTCTGCTTCCCTCTTTCAGCATCCTAAAAAGGGTCCTGCCTTGTAGACCAATTCTTCTGGGCTTTTGTCATAAGAATTAGGAAGAAAGACAGCTGAGGGAAAGATCTGAAGTACACATCCAGGGCTGGAGAAGAGTTAAGGCATGTTTTGAAAGACAAATGCATTCAAGCAGCTATCTTATATGAGAACAGTAGAAGAGAGCAAAAAGAGATGTTTAAGATAATTGTTATTTATCTGCTTCACGGTGTGTGGGCTATGAAAATTTTTTAAGAGTTATTTCAAAATTAGGTTTCAGGTATTTACCTGTGTATTTGAATATGGCCCTGCTCTAAGACTGGACCAAGTGGATCACAGATTTATAAATATCACGCAAAATATTAATCTCAAGCTATAGAAATTTCTGGACAAATTCTTAGTAATGTTTGTGGCTACCTAGCTATTTTATGAAATTGTGGAGATAAAAAGCCTTTATCAGTAAAATAATCTCAATCAGATTGTTAGACGTTTAGAACGATGAAAATACCCTCATATCTCCTAGAACAGTCCAGGGTGTAAATAACAATATTCTCTTTAAATCAACCAATAAGTAGCCATAGGTGACAATATAATTTTTTTTAACAAATAAAACTTATTGTATTGCTTTTGGAATTGCCTGTTTATTAATGCTTTAAAAAATCACTTTGAATTGTAAATAAGTTATAATCACCAATATCAGTAATAAAAATAATACCGTAATTAAAAAAAAATTAAAATATGCAGAGAACAGGGTTGAAAACATGCTCCTAGGCCTAGAGGGCAGTGAAGAATCTGGTCAATCTACAGCTTGAACTTGAGAAATTTACATGTTTTAGCTGGAAAGAGTGAAAATCGGCTATCTTTTCACAAATAATTTTTAAAAGAAATGTCTTGTATTTTCCTGGTCTGAGGTATTAAAGTGCTTTCGCAAAACCTTAACATGGTGCCAATTTAAAAGGTTGGAAAGATGCTCCTCTTTTTCAGAATGTTAGAAATGTACCTTTCCACATCTGTATTTGCTCAAAGATTAAGCTTTGTATGGCGGAAGCTCTGGAGTAGAAACATCTCAGTAACGGAAAGCTTGGACTCTCAAAGTTTCACTCATTCGGCCAACATCCCTGGAGCCCCTCCTTTGTGCAAGACACTGTACTCAGTGCCAGGCTGGAACACCGGTTAACAGGAAGCAGCCCGTGTTCTGAGGGAACTTCTGGCCTGGCCAGGGTACAGCCCAACTAGGAGTTCTAAAAAACAACCTGAAATACCACAGAGCAGCTACACAGTGGACGTGCCTCAAATTACCACACGAGGATCAGTCCGTAAATGCAAAGTCTCCCTTCCACCTGATACGGGTCGCCACCCCATCTCTCAAGAGCCAGAGCAGAGCTAGGCCTAGAACTCGTGACCAGAGGTTGTCAGGGGACAGGTTGGCAAGGAGAGACCAGAGGGTAAGAGGAGGCCCAAGCACGGCCCCCGATGGCGATGCACCAGGTAGTGCGGGAGGCTGGCGGATGTCAGGTCGGCCTCCCACGTGGATCTCGACGGAGGAGCATAGGCCGAGGTTGCGTGGGCCTAGCCGTCGGACTGGAAGGGTCTACGCGCGCTGTTCAGCCCGGGTCTCAGGGGCGGGCTCTCGGCGAGGCCCCGCCCCTTCGGCTCCTCCCCTCCCACCCCCCAAGGCGCGCTAGCCTGTCCCGCGCGGCGCCAACCCTTTCCCGGGTCATCGCCCCTCCTCTCTTCCGGGCCGCGAGCCCCCCGCGCGTCTCCTCAGGGCTGTGCTCGCTCGCCCGCACGCGCGCGCGCGCGCGCGCTCCCCCGCCTGCCCGCCCTCTCAGCGCGCGCTCCGTCGCCCGACGACGCGGGAGCCACACGCTCCGAACTAGGCTCGCTGCCCTCGCTGTCGCCGAGCGCCGGCCCGCTGAGGCGGCGCCCTCGGTTCCCGGCCCGGAGACGGTCGGGACCGCCAGATCTGCGGCCCCAGGGCGGCGGCGGCGGCGGTGAGGAGACCGGGCCGGGGGGAGGCGGACATGGTGGAACTGAGGGCACCGGGAGGAGGGTGGTCCCGGCGCCCCTGAGGCCACGTCGAAAGCTCGCGGCAGGCGGCGCGCCGGGGAAGGGGGAGGAGTGTGGGATCCAACCGGGTTGCATCGGCCCCGGCCCGGCGAGAAGGAAGGATTATGGACCGAGAGAGGTGACCTGAGAGGGTTTCCGCGGGACTTCGGTGGGTTGGGGACGGAGGAGACGCCGCCTCAAGGCTCCTGCCACGTTTACACCGCGCGTTACCCTCCGCTCGCGGTGGGCGACAGCCTTGCGCCTACCCACCCGCCTTCCGCGTCGGTGTGTTTTCTGGAGCCGGGGATCCGGCTTGCTGTCCGGGGGGTGGGGGGTGTCACGCCCGAGGGGACCCCCGTCTTGGAACCCGGGACCACCCGGAGACTGGAATCGGCCCGGTGGCAGCGGACCGGCGGGCGAACGGGAAGGCGCACCCTGCGAGGGAGGCTGTTTGGGGGGAGGAGGGAAATGGGGCTCCACGGCCCTTCCCCCTTAACTCGGGGAAAACCGCGATTGCAGAAGTTGGACGCGCTTGCAGGCCGTTCTTTCCAGAGTGGGTGGAGACGTTTGATGCCTACTCACCTAGCACTCTCAGAACCCAAGCGTGAGTGCTTAGCAGCAGGTTTTGATGGCTTACAAAGTCCAAGTCTCGGCCCCGTGGGAAATCCCGTCTCCTCAGCGTCCGGAGAGCCCGCTTTGTAACGCCACTGAGGCTGGTCCGGGGCTCCTCAGCCTCACGGCCAGGATCCCCGCTTCCTCAACCTTGGGAACGTCTATCAGAAATATTTGTGTCTAGAAACGGTTGCGATTAGCCCATCGTCACAACACAGGGAAAAGTACAAAGTTATAAACTCCTGGAAGGTTGGGCTTGGTTTTCCTTTGGGTTTTACGCACGCCGCTGTGAGCAGAGGAGCCTGTGGAACAAAGTAGAACTTGAGGAGCCGCCGCCGCGGTGACTACGTCCCGGGATGACGTCACCGTGCGATATTTAAAATGGGAGCTTTTCGCTCCGAGTGTGGGTGGAGGAATTGTGGCTACTTACTCGAGACGCCTGAGGTCTTATTGGCCCAGCTCGCTTCTAGTTTCTCCCTCTCATACTTCATAACTCCCTCTTTTAGCTTTCCACACTCTCAGAAGTCTAACTGGTGGGAGTGGGTTAATTTTTCTGCTATTCCAGGCATCATTCCTTCAAACCGAAAAAAAAAGTAATTCCATATGACTCATCTTGTGTTACAAGCAATAGAAACCACTAAGTGGTTCTTTCCTTCCTTTCTTTTATTTTTTGATACGAAACAGAACAAAACAAAAAGGAAAACAAAACCCTAAACTCAGATATGTAGAGCACCATAGACAAATTAAATGAATGAGAATGATGCAGTTAAGGATTCAGTACTCTTTAGTGTGGTTCCTTGTTTTCTTTGGGGAGATGGAAGCTAATGTTGTTCCATCAGCAAGCAACTTTCATCCCATACCGTGTATTAAATTGCATTGGGCTTTCTTTTCCATTATAACAGGGTAGGATATAAATATGGCTTTATAAAGTGGAAATGGCTCAACATTTCTCTTAGGAGGATGCCTCATAGCAGTTGTGGAAGACTGGGGTTGTATGTACCTCTGCAACTCTTATATGCAACCCAGTTCCTCTTGTCTGGTAGCTGGCCAGAGAAAGTGGATTTGGCATTCTAGGGTTCCAGGAGGAAGGTTTGGGTGTCTTCCCATCGGAGATCAGAATGGGTATGGCTGCCAGCACACCTCTCAGATGACTGTAGAATTTATTTCACAGTGAGATCCCATGTTTGAATTTGCACAAGGAGTTAAGGAATCATTAGAAGAGACTTTAAGAGGTTTGAGAAAACAAATGTGTGAGAAAACAACTATCAGCTAGATTAGTCTGTTTTTATACTAAACATAGCAGAAGCTGTATGTCTTTGATAATTGGCTCTGGAAAGGATGATATTGCTTAGTAAATGTAGCATCTGAATAATTCCCAAGTTACTTAAAGCAGCCAAATGAATGAGCTCATCACATAAAGACAGAATATACATCGAAACAATCCCAGGATAAGGTTTTTGCCTTTATGGATTAATCAATGGTAAGTCAGATCTGCCATTTAAAGAGTCTTGAGGCAGTTCCACAATGCAGCTATATCTCTGATTATTTCTTTTGGTTTGATTTTTCTGTGGATGACCCTGAATTTCTACTCTTAAATGTTTTGATAGAGGCACTGTCTTGGGGCATATCTTCTAGGTAAATATATCTCTGTTCTTGAAAGAATGTTTATAGAAGAAACTCAGTGCTGCATTTTTTTTTCTTTATGTGTAACAGCTTTATTATTCAAATAGGATTCACATAGCATACAATTTACACATTTAAAATCTACAGTTCATTAGTTTTAGTATATTCACAAAGTTGCGTAGCCATCACCACAGTTAATTTTAGGGTATTTTCCTCACCCTAAAAGGAAGCCCTGTGTTCATTGATGTCTCTCCTTTCCCCCCATAATTCCTTCCCCTAGGCCACTAACCTACTTCCGGTTTTTGCCTGTTCTGGAAAACTCATATAAATGGAATCATACAATATTTGGTCTTTTGTAACTGGTTTCTTTCCCTTAACATGGCGCATTTAAGATTCACCTCTGTTGTCGCACGTATCAGTACATCATTCCTCTTTGTTGCTGAAGAATATTCCATTGCATGTATATACAACATTTATCTGTTCATCAGTTGACAAATGTCAGTGTCCATCAGTTGTAGATTGAATTTCTTCTACTTTTTGGCTGTTATGAATAATGCTGTGGACACTTGTGTACATGTTTTTGTGTACAAAAATGTTTTCATTTCTTTTGGGTATGTGGCTATGAGTGTGGAATTGATTGGTCTTTTAGTAACTCAAACTTTTTTTTAGGAATTACCACTGTTTTCTATAGTAGCTATACAATATTGTGTTTTAAAATTCAAATTATTTCACAAAATTTTAAACTTAAATTATTGTAGCTAAACATTGACATATTTAGAAAAAGTATATAATGGTATCATTGTAGTGCTTCTCTTTGAGTGATAGCTCTGATTTTATTTTAGCCAACCAGGAGCATTTTGGTGTGCCCTCTTTACTGAACTTCTTCACAAAGCTAAGTGATAAGGTTCTTAGACAGTATTATAATAAGGTCTTTATGGCCTAAATTAGTGATTATTTGTTCCTTTTTCCAGATATGAGCCAATGAAACACAAGATAAAATTGAAAGAAGGGAGCTATGAAGGAGGGATATTTTGCAGAGCTTTATCTTCCAGTTTTTGTGTTTTGGTTTTTTAAGAAAAACTGTTTTTCTTTGCAGGGAAAGATGAAGAACGAAATTGCTGCTGTTGTCTTCTTTTTCACAAGGCTAGTTCGAAAACATGACAAGTTGAAAAAAGAGGCAGTTGAGAGGTTTGCTGAGAAATTGACTCTTATACTTCAAGAAAAATATAAAAATCACTGGTATCCAGAAAAACCATCAAAAGGACAGGCCTACAGGTAAAGAATTAGATTGGACAGTTGGATTGGACTAAGAGGCTGATAGCTCCTGAAAATGAGTACAAGGCCAAAGGACTAAAGGGTGTCCAGTCCATTTCTTTCACAGTTTCACTACAACATACAGAATTCTGGGGTGTCTTTGGTATTTTCTTTCCTTACGCATTTTAAAATAGAAACATTTGTTGATGGAGCCCCACTACCTAGACTTGGGATCACAATATTGTCAGCCCGTGGGAGTTAGTCTTGTGGTTGTAGTTTGGCTTCTGACTGAATGCATTTCTTTATGTATCACAGGTACTTGAGGGTTTTCACAATTCTAGAGGACCCCTAAAACTTACCCATGAATGGGCATGGCAAGAGTTGAAAGAAATGAGTCTCTGTTTTTATGAATAGATTACATGTTATATGTTTTTGGAAAAAGTAAATTTTATGGCAAACAAGAACTAAGAATATTAGAAACCTAATGCATTGTTGACACAGAAATAATTTCATTTATACTATACATAATTCTTTATGGTAGAAGCCACCGTAACTCTTTTCTTGATGAAGGTAACTTATTACAACCTACAAGTGGTAAATATTAGCTCTGCGATTTGAGCTCAGGTCTAACTAACTGACCCTGAATTCTTATGGGCTTCTGCACACCACAGTTTGACCACTGCCCTGTCTCTGAGAGGGTAAGTAACTCTCACTAGCAGCTGTCTTTTTGTACTATGGTTTATAAGTTACATTTATAGCTTAGAGTAAAGAAGAACAGGCTCCTGCAAAACATGTTCTGGCACGCTCATTCCCTAGTATTTATGTGATCACTGTGTTGAGAGCCTGGGTTCTGCTGAATAACTCAGCTGTCAAACCTTGCCCCATTTGTGGAGGTGGCCACCAAAAAAAATGAATGTAAAACAGTTGTGACTAAAGAAATTCTTTTATTTATGCATATTGTTGCCCCCAAGTTTTCTTCTCAATCAGCATTTCTGTGCTTTGATGTAAAAAGGACTTCCTTTCAGTCACTTAGCTCTTACAAGTGCAAGATTATTCAGGGAGTCTACAAAGGAAGTGAAAATATGTGCTTAGTTCTCATATGCTAAAAGCCACAGGTGAGCATGTTTTCTATTGAAAACAAAAGTTAAAGTTATTGATGTATTTTTCTCTTCATTTTTATCCAAGGATGTTTCCTAGTAGATTGGAAAATGTGATGAATTAAAGTAGAAATGTGGATGTTCCATATAAAGGAGACTCGTTATTTTTTTATCTTTTCAGTTGATTCTCTTAATTTTTTTCCTGCACATTTTTATTTTTGATAGAGTGAACAGCTTTGGTGAGTTAGAGCTATTGAGGCTTTTTACACTGATGTAATTGACATTGGACAAAGGCTTCTGGAAGTGCCAAACCAACTTTTTACTATTACTGAGAAAAGAAGACACTGTCAAGTAAATGCTTAAAGGTCAGACAGTGTACAGTTTCGTTTCCATTAATTCTAAAAACTTGAGGAAAAAAATTAGCTAAACAGGATTAAATTGGCATATGATCAGAAATATCATTATTGAGTCATTTTGAAGCTGTCTTTGAAGTAGAAAACTATTAGACTTAATGGTGGGTTGTTACTGTTATAAAAGTGAATAGAATATAGGATTAGCCAGAGTGAGACTCTTGAATCCATGGAGTAAGTTGGAAGTGTTCTTTTTCTTCTAAAGTGTTTATAAGTTAAAATTGTTTCTTCACAATATCTACAAATAAGGGCAATTTGGCAATATTATCAAGATGTGTAAAAATATTCCTACTCTTTGAACAGTAAGTTTCTAAAAATCTATTCTAGAAGTATACTCAGAAATGCAGATAAATATCTATGAATATGGATGTTTCTTACACTTTATAATTGCAAAAAATTGGAAAGAACTGTCAACATTAAGTAAATGATAGACTATTTTTATGCAGCTTTTAAAATCCTGTTTTTGAAGATTGCTTAATGGATAAGTAGTCACAGAATATAGAGTTAAAAAAACAGCACAAAAATGTATAAGATATGCAAATGAAGCAGAGTCTCTAAGCATCTTTATTTACATACATATTTTTTAAGCTTTGAGACTACATCACCCTTATTTTAGATAACAAAAACATGTACTTCTAAAAATCTATCTCCTTACCTTTAACTGCTTTTGATCCTGGGGCATATGGGACTTTTGAATCAACTTACACAACACTAGAATTTGTAAACATAGACCATCTCAAAGTATGGGACAAATGGCATCTTACATGCTGTAAAATAATTTTTTTACTCTGAATTGCTTACTTGTTAGTGGTCATGATAAGATTAGCACAGACAAAATAGGATAAATTATTTAATGAAATAGACTTTGGAGTCCAGTGGTCCAGATAGTCACCAATTTATAGTTGTGAAGTTAGGCAACTCTGCTTCCTTACTTTCTTACAATGGGGAAGTGATATGTAAATTATAGGATAATTGTTAAAATAAAAAGTTAATACATGTAAAGCACTTAAGAAACTGTCCATTGTGTGGTAAACCTTCAGAAAGAGTTATTATTACTATTTAGAAATATGTATTAGCTGTTACTTACTGAGAACTTTTTCACTGTTCTAAATGAGAATTGAAATCAATAATAAAATTTAAAAAAAATTTTAAACAGCATGTTCTATTGATGTCATTGTATTTAATGTTATAATTACTATTTGTCAATAAACTTGTGTTGTCCATATTTGAGAGCTTTGCATCTGAGGAGAGGGTGAAACCACTTAATCTAAATTCACCCAATAAATAAGAAGTAAGATTAGTACTAAAACCTGGGTACTTTTGATTGATTTCGTAATTGTAGAAGCAGTAAATACTTCTATTGTAGCCACCATTTTTGTACATAGGCAAAATGCTTACTTTAACATATACTTTTGCATTCATTCTGGGATTAGGTAGATTCCATTAGGTAGATTTGGTATTTCTTAGGTTTAAAAAATGGAACAGAGGTTCTATTGGTTTAGGTATTTTATTTTTTCCCAATTATTTTAATGACTTTTTTTTTTTTAATTAAAAAAAAACCCTTTGGTAACAAATAAGCCAGTAACACTTTGGATTTATTTTAATCATAACTATGTGATATGAATGGTTCTGTATCTTGGACTGATTCTATATTTATAGAACAATTATAAGTGAGGATAAGGACACCTTTCTTAACACTATCTGGGATTTATAAGTAAGGAAGTGGCCAAAACATCACAAGAATTTCAAAATATTTCAAACATTGTTTAAAGTCTTTTGTTAGTTAGATTTTGTTATAGTAACTTGGCCTATTAATACTTCTACCTTTAGAGCTCTGGGTAATTTCATGCAGCTTTAATGCTCATTGGTATGTTAATATACATGTGAGATTGAGTAGTTTCTGGCTAAAATGATGCAAAGCCAGTTCTTATGATTTCCCTGGGCTCGGATGAATGCCCTCTCTTTCACCAGGCTGAGTAGTCTTACTGATGACGCTGCCTCTTTGCCTTCAGTTCACGTTTATTATCTATTTAGGATAGATATGCCCCTGGGTTCTCCGTCAGTGTTTATTTGTTTTAACTTCACATTGGCAATACTAATAATATAACATGGTTTATGATTAAGATTCAGTTAAAGCTGTTAAAATCACTCTACTTCGTTGCAGATGCATTCGTGTCAATAAGTTTCAGAGAGTTGATCCTGATGTCCTGAAAGCCTGTGAGAACAGCTGCATCTTGTACAGTGATCTAGGCTTACCAAAGGAACTCACTCTGTGGGTGGATCCATGTGAGGTGTGCTGTCGGTGAGTTCTTGAGTGTGCCAGCTGAACTGATTACCATGCTGGAACTGATTTTATGAAATTCTCTCAGTTACTGCCTGCTTGTGTGTCTTTGTGGCCAGAAGCTGTTGTTCGGGCTTTTGTAGTTGTGAATTTTGTAATCTGAAGGTGAAAGACTGGTTACATTCCTTTTTTACAGCTAAAGAAACTTAAAAACTTAATTGGGTAGGGTTTTTCTAGGGCTCTGCCAAGAAGCTTTTTATAGACCAAGAAGCAGAATTTAGATACCCAGACTTCTGTAGGTCAATTATTGTCTCTCGGTGGTGCACTTGTCTTTCTCCTCTTCAAGTTGGGAAAGAAGTTAAGCCTAAATAGTAATGGATAATAACAACTTTTGCTTGGTTTTTGTTTGTTTCTATTCTTGCCTCCCTCCCCCTTTTTGACTTTTAAGTGACCAAGTATTTTCATGGTCTTGTTTTTATAATGGAGATTATTTCTCATCTCCTAATGAGCAGAATTGTAAAAGGGGAGTGTTAGGTATGATATCTAATTGAATTCCATTCATTCTAAAAACATTCATTGTGATATAGGCATTCTTAGTTGTGGGGTTTTAAAAAATAAAAGGACATTTTGCTGTTAGATGTCCAAAGTATAATAAAGGAGAAGAAAGAATAAGCAGATTACAGCAGGGTGATCTTTGCTGTGATAGAAATATGTACAAAATGCAGTGGTTGGTGACACAAAGGAGAAAGTTACTGCTTCTGCTGGGAATTAGAAAAGACTACCAAGTGGGGTGATGCTAGAGCTGGATGGGGAAGGATGCAGTTGATTAGATGACAAGGTGGGAAAGACCTTGCAGGAAGAATAGGATGAAAAATAGATGAATGGAATCCCCTGCAAGTGATTTCCTACAGCTGTTCCTGTAGGGTATTTCTTTTTGGTTTTTAAGTACATTTCACCTGTTGAATACAGTAGAGATGCTTTTGATGCAATCCTAGTATATTTCAAAGGTGGTCATAGCCTTTGACCTGATCTCCAACAATAAAAGTAGAGGTGATGATATGTCATGACAAAAACACATAGTAATTCTTCCATTGAATTATTCTGGATCACCTTGGAGCTTCTTGGTATAAGCTGTTTGTGTAAGATTCTTGCTTTGGGAAACTGAGGTGCTAGATTAGTCAGCACTTCTTTCTCAGTTAGAAAAAAGAAGAGCAAGACATCTCAATTTTGGTCCAAGAACGTCAAATGTTTTTAGATTCTGGGACTAATTTAGGACTAAGGTCATACTTCACAGACTTTGGCCACTGAACACCTACTGAAGACCTCAGTATATAAGCAATAGCTATCACAAAGTTACTATATTGAATTGCTTACTTTTTTATTAGGCCTGCACTTAGATCCTGACTCACTGTTATTTAACACACAGTTCTTTAAGTTAGTTATGTAGTTTTTCAGCCATTAAAAAATTATAAGTAGTGCTTGAAAGGGGCTTTTTCATGTAGTTATAAAGCTACTGAAAGAATATGTAGTGGGGCGGTTGGGTGGCTCAGTCAGTTAAGTGCCTGCTTTCAGCTCGGGTCATGATCCCAGAGTCCTGGGATCAAGCCCCAAATTGGGCTTTCTGCTCAGTGGAGAGCCTGCTTCTTTCTCTCCTTCTGCCCGCCTCTCTGTCTACTTGTGTTCTCTCTCTATGTCTCTGTCAAATAAATAAATAAAATCTTTAAAAAATATATATATATATCATATAGTCTTATGTGGAGGCAGGAGCAAAAAAGCTAAAGAGTTGGCAAAATGTGTTATCATCCAGTCAAATAATGAGTATATAATATGACGATCTTAAATCATTATGAATTGTTTCTATGTTCAAAGATGCTTAAAAAGTTGGGTAATTGTATAAACATTTTGGACATATTTATTTGAAATGGCTTAAACTAAATCTTGGCACTTGAAGATAGAAACTTTAGTTAAATAGACATTCTACTTAGGTGGATGCTTCATTACTTTAATGATTCCAGATAATGAAAAATTATTGTGTTTTCATCATATTGATATATGAAAATCTTTGCAGTCAGTACCTCTTAATAATTTTACATAAAATTAAAATTTTGGCGAAAATTGGCTGTGATGTGACAATTTTCACAGCTCAGAGAAATCACCTTCAGATTGTGGGGAACTCATTCTGTGATAATAGAACTCCAAAGAAAGAAAGGCATCCTAGCTATTGAGTAGAGGTAATTGTTTTTAAGTTAACAGAGGAGATTGCAGTATTGATTAGTGCTTTGGGACCAAAACTGTAAAGATAAATATTCTGAAAATTAAAATAAAGCTGATATAGCAGTTACATAATTGAACAAATATCTGAGAGTCATTAATAATAACTTACTGGTACACTAGAGACTAAGCTTATAAAAAAATTGAAATGCACTCAAGGGAACATTCTTCATAGTATCATTGAGTTATTCCATCAGGATAAAATATTTGAAGTGTACAAAGAGTGTTATGTAGTTAGAAAGGTTATCATTTAGTGAACTATGTGAGGAGATACGGAATAGATAATAAATACATTCTTCCCATAAAGAGAATGCCTGAGATAGGGTCTCAGCTTTCTTATCTGTCCAACATATTGTATACCTTTTTTTTGGAATTTCTAGAATTCTTTTCCTGATATAGAGCATTAGATACTATTGATTTTGTTTCAAATTAACTAAATTGGACTTAATGTTTTAGCAGTGTGTAGTTGAAAAATGCAGTTTAAATGTTGTCCATTACTAATTCTAAGACATTAACTGCACACGCTAATGTTACAGTAATACAGTAAACCACTTCATTTACCATGAAAAGAATATTCATACCAAAATATTAGAAAGGGAAAGATGCAGAACCTAATTAAACTTGCATGTCAAAGAAATCTGAGTTAATAAAGCTTGACCTTCAATCATTAGATGTCTGTCCTTGATGTAGGTTTCTGTTCTACAAAGGTAGGGATTTTTCTCAAATTGCCTACCTTTCTGTTTTACTTGAATTTTGACTCTATTAATGGGCAAAATTGAAGGTAGGCCTAAATCCATTGTTAATATTGCTGACTTTATTAACATGTGATTAACCTTTGTATTGAAATTTGTTGAGTCTTTAAACGGAGGACAGGATGAAGTGGTATGTTTCCATTGCTAAAACTCTGTGCTAAGTAAATTCGAAATTATAGTACAGGAGTTCTGTGTTGCGAAGAACTTGCCTAATTGCTCAGTCATCTTATACTAGGAAGAATTGCTAGCTGAAGACAAACCAATATCCAGCCAGTTCCAGCTTTCTTGCCTAGCAGATAGGAAACTGTGGCCTAGAGACATTAAATGACTTGCCCCTTGTCACAGAGCTAGTTAGTGGGAGAGCCAGAACCAGAAAGATGTTCAGTGTTCTTTCTACCGTCTGTAGCAATTCCTTTTATGAGGTAAACTGAAAAAGAATAGAAAAGGGAGTTATGTCCCATATTTAGGTAGCATTTATGGCCCCATTCAGCCTGTGTGAGAATGGAAGACAGCACAACTATATAAAGAAGTAGAACTCACCTGTGAGGCTACATGATTTCCATAAAACTTTCAAAGGCTTTATTACAGTTTGGCCTTTTACTTTATTATACATACCCTGATTCAGAAATAATTTAAGACAAGACTTACTTCAAAATGAAATTAATTGACATAGTTATTATTAACTCTGCTTTTCTATTAAGGTTGTTTTGGGGGGTTTTTTAAGCTTAAAATCATGTTCTCTAACTTCAATTACATATTGTGTAAGAACTAGTTAACAGTTCATTTCTTGGGGCACCTGGGTGGCTCAGTCGTTAAGCCTCTGCCTTCAGCTTGGTTCATGATCCCAGAGTCCTGGGATTGAGCCCCACATCGGGCTTTCTGCTCAGCAGGAAGCCTCCTTCTCCCTCTCCTACTCCCTTGCTTGTGTGTGATCTATGCGTCATGAGGTCAAGCCTGCACTGGGCTGTACGCTGAGCATGGAGCCTACTTAAGATTCTCTCTCTCCTTCTCCCCTGCCTCCCCTACCCCCCTTCCCCATTTGCCCATGTGCTCTTTTGCACACGTGCTCGCATGCTCTCTCTTTCTCTCTCAGAGGAAAAAAAAAGTACTACTGGTTTTACTATTCATTATGCTATCTTCCCTCATTGCATAATTTATTTTCCTTTTTCTTTTAGTAGCCAACAGCCAAAGTTACATATTCTAACAATTATTTTTCTAGCTCAAGTCTCTAAAAGTATTTTGGCAGGATTAAAAAGCTCATTTTACTTTTTAAAGACAAAAATCAAGATGAGAAGTAAGCAGTTTTCCTAGCATGAGATAAGCAATATAATTCAAGTAAACCCCCTTTGTTTTCAACACTTGTTTTTCAGTTGCCTCAGTTCTCATTTTTGTCAGTGTGGATACAGGCAAACCACGTCCCTTTTTTATTTAATCATGGAGGTCAAAGGAAATGACTCGTTGATTTATGACTTGAATTACTAGCATCTACATTACAGTGGTTAGTTAAAAACACATGAGAAATTTTTACTGTACAACCAGTTTAATGATACATAAAAAATGTAAGCTGAATTTCTCTTTGGTGTTTTAAACAATTATTTTTGTTAAAATAGGAAAGTAGGAAAGAAAATTGGGAAAGAGAATGGAATCATTTTTATTTGTACTTAAATAAGGCAGGGGTAGAAAGTCGTGGTCTGCCTATTGGCATGGATTTGAGTTAAGATACTATATATGTCGGGTTATGTTCTGGGAGGGTTCCTTCTTTGCTTTGGACCAATGGCATGTCCAAGCCTGTTTGTTTTTATGGACAATTTCTTGCTTTTGTTGATGGTACTTAAAGGTTTATGAGTTTGTTTGTTTTTGTAATCCTTAGGTATGGAGAGAAAAACAATGCATTCATTGTTGCCAGCTTTGAAAATGAGGATGAGAACAAGGATGAAATCTCCAAGAAAGTTACCAGGGCCCTTGATAAGGTTACCTCTGATTATCATTCAGGATCCTCTTCTTCAGATGAAGAAACAAGTAAGGAAGTAGAAGTGAAACCCAGTTCCATGACTGCGACCCCAAGCCCTGTGTACCAGGTAACCATGGAATGACTTTCTATTAAAGGTTGTGAGCAGGGCTTGCCAGGTCATTCTAGGTAGTCCTGCTCATGTTGCCCAGGATTTCTAATTTGAGATTTTGAATGCCAATTCTCTTCCATATAAAAGGAAGCTGTTCTTTAGAGATGTAAATGGGCATCCTGAGTCACTTTATCAAGGGTCTGCTTTTACTACTCAGTTAAGTAGGATAAATACATTTTATTTATTTATAATAAATATATTTTTAAAAGTATGGGAAAGACTAGAAAAAGTCATGATGATGAAACATTCCCGATATTTTTAAATCTTTATTGTATTGAAAAGTAGGTATTGAGGGGTTCCTGGGTGGCTCAGTGGGTTTAAGCCTCTGCCTTTGGCTCAGGTCTTGGTTTTAGGGTACTGGGATCAAGTCCCACGTCGGGCTCCTTGCTTAGCAGAGAGGCCTGCCTCTCTGCCTACTTGTGGTCTCTGTCAAATTAATAAAATCTTTAAAAAAAAAAAAAAAGATTCACATTAAAAAAAAAAAGTAGCTATTCAGTTTTTGTAGTCTTCGACACTATTAATTCATACCATTGGGGTTAACTTTCTTTTCTCCACGATTAAAAAGAAACTTCACTGAATTATATATGAGTTCATTTTTCACTCAAGTTAAAACATTATCTCCTTTACTTCAACAGTTGGTGAGTTAGATAGCAACCATGCTTACAAATTTGTCCACTTATTTATTATCTATACCCCACATACCAAAGAATATTTAATATACTTTAAAAATTCTTAATACAATACTCCTCTTTGGCAGAGAAGATAAGTCAAAAAAATGAAAGAAATCTTTTTTTTCTTTTTAAGATTTTATGTATTTATTTGACAGAGATCACAAGTAGGCAGACAGGCAGGAAAAAACGGGGCGGGGGGGGGGGGAGCAGGCTCCCTGCTGAGCAGAGAGCCCGATGATGCGGGGCTCAATCCCAGGACTCTGGAATCATGACCTGAGCCGAAAGCAGAGGCTTTAACCCACTGAGCCACCCAGGCACCCCTGAAAGAAATCTTTTGGTTGAGCCTTATTCCGTGCATGTACTTTTTTCTAATTTTGAGTATATTTTAAAAATATATCTCTTTTTATTAATTTGGCCTTATTTAGACATACTGAAACATAACAGGTCAAGGTAGGGTTGGATTTGGGCTATAATAAGAATTTAAACCTTGGGGCGCCTGGGTGGCTCAGTTAAGCGTCTGCCTTCAACTCAGGTCATGATCCCTGGGATCGGCCCGCACTGGGCTTCCTGCTCGGTGGGAAGCCTTCTTCTCCTTCTTCTACTCCCCCTGCTTCTGTTTCCTCTCTCGCTGTGTCTCTCTCTGTCAAAAATATAAATAAAAACTTAAACAATAATAATAATAATTTAAACCTTAATGAGTAAAAAATGAGAGTTTTGAGTATGAGAAACTAAATCTTTATATTCACCATACATTTATATAATGAACATGTTTTCAGTATAACTTAACTTTTCATTTCTCTTTTTTTTTCATTTGTTATATTATCTTTTTAGGCTTATGAGGAAGATTAGTCTGAGGATTATCATTTTTAGGAATATATGTGTATATATATGTATATTGTAAGATAGCAAACACTTGCTGTAAACAACTTCAAACAGTGTAAAAGAGCATAATAGTAACCAAATCCTCCCTCACCACTCCCCAACCACCAGTCCTGTCCTGTACATTTCCATGGATGTACTCATTACCAGTTATTTTTGTATTCTTCCTAAGAGATTCTCTATATAGATAAGTAAACTTTGTATTTGTATTTCAGGGATCATTTTTAAGACTTTTGTCATAAATTTTGGGCTTTTTTTCTCTCTGCATGATGTGTTATAAACTCTAAATTACTGTTGTTAAATTGCCTGTAATTCGTTCACATGTTGCAATTTTATCTCAGAATTTTATTGTTACTCAACAAAGCAAGAAGGTAAGTCTCAAACTGAATTGATTGCTGCTGATATTTTACAAGTAAATTGACCTTTAATTTTTAGATTTTCCTTTTAAATTGTATTTATTTCCCCCCATGTTGAGAAACTATTAGGACAAAATTATAACAAAGGCATGGAAATTGAAATGTCTTTTGTGTGCTTTTAAAATATTTTTCCTTGACATCATATTCACTAACAAAACATTTTATGACAGAAAAGCATGGCTGTTAAAAGCCATCGTGTAGAAAGCTAGTGCAAGTGGCCCACTTTAATGTTTTCTTCCTATCCATGTTTCATCTTGAACCTAGCATTACTAAAAGGTTTAAAAAGGGGCTTATCAAAGTAAGGATACAAAGTTCCTAGCTTGTGATCTTTGTTCTCTTAGGAGTCTGTTTTTTTAAAGGTATCCCCAGAGATGACTAATTAAGAAGTGAAGTTTGTCATTTTTCCCAAATTGATCTATAGATTCAACTACATATCAATCAAAATCCCAACAGGGTTTTTCTAGAAAATGACAGATTGATTCTAAAATTTATAAAAAGGAGAATCAAGTTAGAGGCCTTATACTTATATAAAGCTATTATGTCTATCAAGACAGTGTGGTAAAGATTTACGATTTTATTTATTTATTTGACAGAGAGACACAGCGAGAGAGGGCAAGCAGGGGGAGTGGGAACAGGAGAAGCAGGCTTCCTGCTGAGCAAGGAGCCCAATGCAGGGCTTGATCCCAGATCTCTGGAGAGCAGAGTCTTAACAAATGAGCCACCCAGGCACCCCCAGTGTAGTAAAGATTTAAAGACACAAATATATTAATGGAACAAAATAGCGCAGAAACAGACCTACATATGTAGTTTTTTTTGTTTTGTTTTTTTTTTTTTTAAAGGAAAGTCTCAAAGCAGTTCAATAGGGAAAGTCTTCAAGAATTGGTACTAAAACAATTGGATACTCTATACAGGAAAAGAAACAAACCTAACTGCTACTTGACAGCATACACAAAAAATTTAATTTGAGATGGGTCGTAGACCTAAACATAAAAGCTAACTCTGACACTTTCAGAAAATATTGAGAGATAGCTTTATTACTTGAGATAAACTAAGATTTCTTCCAGGGGATACAAAAAACACAAGAAAAGAACTTGATAAATTTGACTTCATCAAAATTTAAAATCTTTGCTCATCAAAACAAACCATTAAGAAAATGAATGGGCAAAACATAGACTGGAACAAAATATTCTCAATACATACATCCAAGAACTTGTTTCTGGAATATGCTTTATAAATCATTCCTATAAATCAATAATAGAAGACAAACAACCCAATTAAAAATAACTGGGCAGAAGATATGAATAAACACTGTACAAAAGAAGTTATATAAATGTCCAGTAAACACATGAAAAGGTGCTTAGCCTTTTTTTGTCATCTGGGAAATGCAAATTAAAACCATAGTGAAACACTACTTCTTCCAGAATGGCTAAAATTAAAGTCTGACACCACCGACTGTTGGCAAGGATGTGAAGTAGCTGGATTCATAAACTGTTGGTGGGAATGTAAAATGGTACAGCCACTTTGGAAAACTCTGGCACTTATTACATATACACCTACCCTATAACCCAACAATTACACCCTTAAGTATTTCACAAGAGAAATGAAAATAAGTATTTCCAAAGTCATGTATTAGAATGTTTATAGCAGCTTTTTTCATAATAATAAAATGGAAAACAACCAAAATGTCCATTAACAGGTAAATGGGAGAAAAATTATGAGGTTTTCACACAGTAGAATACTAGCAGTAAGACAGGATGAACTAATAATAGACACACTATGGAAAGACCTCAAAAACGTTTGATTGGGCAAAGAATTTTGCCATACGCAAATGAACACATGGTAAATGATTCTATTTATGTGACATTAACGAACAGGGAAAGCTCAGTCTGGTGATAGAAATCAGAACAGTGGCTGATTGTGGGGTATGAGGATTAACTGGGAAGGGTATTTTAGGCTCCAGAATTTTGTCTTCTGATAGGTTTGTTGTTGTTGTTTTTTAATAAAGATTTTATTTTTAAGTAATCTGTACACCCAAAGTGGGGCTTGAACTCACAACCCCGAGATTAAAAGTCGCATACTCCTTTCACTGAGCCAGGCAGGCATGCCTTCTTTCTGACAGTTTTAAAACCTTTTCAGCATCCTAGTATAAAAAGAAATGAAAACCGTTTCACTTTGCTACCTGTTTGTAGTATAGGTTGGAACTCTAAATTTTTCCTTATTTTTTCATTATTTTATATAATCAAGGATTAACTATACTAAGGTTATTCATTAAAATGTTGTTTTATTTGTTGTGCATTGTTTTTTAGTAGTAAAACACTGAAAACAGCCTAAATGTTCCATCAGTAGGACACTAGTTAATTTAGTTACGGCATAGTCCTTGCATTACATCTGGCTGTAGAATAACAGAAAAGGGCCTTATGTATTGATACGAATATCTCCAAGATATATTTATCAAGGGCAAAAAGGGGTAAACAAAATTGTATGTGCATGTTTTTTAAAATGTGTGCATAGATGTACACCCAAGTATACGCATGAAATATTTCTAAGGGTATACACACAAAAAAATAATAATTAGTGTCAGTTGCCCCTGAGAGGGTAATCGGGTAGCTGGTAATCAGATAAAGGGGATTTTTACTGTATATACTTTTATATACCTTTTGTATTTTCTATGTTACGAATACAGTTTTCTATAAAATACAAATTTTAAAATACCTGTACTAAAAAGCAGATTAGAAATCAGAGAGTTCAGAAACTCATAGTTACATGGTATAGCATTCTGAGCAAGGTGCTGATAACTTTTTGAATAATGTGAACTTATGTCCTATGAGACTTAGGGGATAATCTAAGACTGTTGTTCCCAAACACAAACTGGCTACATCAGAATCACCATCTACACTGTGGTCAGAATACTTGACCTCTGTTTTTAAAATTTTTGTTATTCTTACTGTTCAGTAGACCAGGGCTAGGGCATGAATATTCTGTGTTTTAAAAGCCTTTTAGGTGTCTCCTTATTAACCAGCCAGCTGTGGAAACTACTGGTCTAAAACATGTGTCCTAAAAAAAAGCATGATGTGTCCTTTCAAGCTTCCATTCATTTCTGTTTTGATCTTTTCTGGTTGTTTTGAGTTTATTCATTTTCATTCATTCAGAAAACTAATTGGTCACTTACTACATATGAAGTTTTTAATATACTTAGATCTAACCATAGGAATGTCACTTAGATCTACTCTTAAGGGTATGGCTGAGTGATTTTGTTTTTCTTTAATGGTAATCTGGAAATTCACCTTGTTTTTACATATAATCTGACTAATTTTTCCTTTGAATTAATAACTTAACTGTTTTCTCTTTCATGCAGATTTCAGAATTGGTGTTCCCACCTCTTCCATTATGGCACCCTTTACCCAGAAAAAAGCCAGGAATGTACCGAGGAAATGGTCATCAGAATCACTATCCTCCTCCTATTCCATTTGGTTATCCAAATCAGGGAAGAAAGAATAAACCGTATCGCCCAATTCCAGTAACATGGGTACCTCCTCCTGGAATGCATTGTGACCGGAATCACTGGATTAATCCTCACATGTTAGCACCTCACTAGCTGCTTTTGATTCTGTTGGTGTCAGTGTTGAGAGAAGGTAGAATAAGGCTGACCACATTAAAAGTTAAAAGTTCATACTCATAGTAGTAAAGTTAGATGGGCCAAACCGTCAAACTTATTTTTATAGAAAAGTTATTGATAATAATCTTTCTTAAAAAATATATATGCACTTTAGATATATTGATATAGTTTGAGAAACTTTATTAAAGTTAGTCAAGTGCCTGAGTTTTTAATATTGGACTTGAGTATTTATATATTGTGCATCAACTCTGTTGGATACGAGAACACTGTAGCAGCAGACGATCTGTTCTAGCACCTTTGAGCATTTACTTTATGGAGAGTATGTAAGTTATTTATACACAGGAAATCTATTTTATGTCATTGTTTAGAAGAATTGCGTGAAATCATGTAGTTGCAAATAAAAAGTAGTTTGAGGCATGACAATGTGTGCTTCTTTTCTGTGCATAAAAAAAGGGAGAAATAGCAAAGGGAATCATTTCACTTTGATGTGTTTGAATACTAAGCAAAGAAAAAAAAATTCAAACTTTTCTTTAAAAAAATCAACTTTTTATTAACCATAACTTTCCCCAAGTCAGCCGTATCAAAAATGTGCATATAAAAATCTACAGTTTATTAGTAGTACTAATTGAAAATGTAAATACACTAAAATATTTTTCAGCCATCAAAGTTGCTATAGATAGGATTTTCCTAAGAATTTAGCCTGTATCAATTTTGATATGGCATCTGACTTATATTCCTAATGCCACTGCATAAAGCAGAAATGTTCTTACATTTCTATTCTTGTGCTTTTTTTCCAACATATGAGAAAGTCTTTAATAGATGTCTGAAATAAAGCCAAATAGTACAGTACTTCATTCAGATTCTTCAGTAGTCCTTCATATTTATACCACCGTAATGCCATCAGTCTTTTAAGCATACTTGAACTACAAAAAGAGAGAAAGAGATATAAGAATTTGGATTTTTTCCCCCCAAATTAAATTTTTTAAAAAAGAAGATAAATACTTTTTTTCCTGTTACCCATATCTTTATTCTAGTCATAAGTTGTTTGACTTGTCAGAAAAATCACAGCTCCCTAATAAGTCATTAGAAGGCCTTGGCTATTCCAAATATTCCTGTTGTCATTTTTTCTGATAAATTCTATTTAAGTATAGAGTACCAGAGAAGTGCACAAATCATAAGGATGCATATAGCCCAAAGGTTTGAGAATATGTGGAATTTAAATTCTGCAACCTCAGTAGGAAACTTTTTAAACCTTATAGACTTTTTTCTAGTTTTAATATTATCTTTGATAAACTACATGTATCTTTTAATATATTTCCAACCATGATAATCCTTTTTCTTGAAATATATAATGAATGCCTATTCAAACAAGCATATTTTTTCTAGGGGTAACTGGCATCACAGGAAGATTAATTTTATTTAAGTTTGAAAATGTTTTTAACATGTTGAGAGTTTTGTGTGATGACAGATTGTGTGCAGTTGTAAAGGTGGCAGGTTTCAAGTATTTTTATCATGGAGTCAGCATTTGTTCTTTTAGTTTGCTCATGTTGTAGTTAGAAGCTTGTTGGAAAAATTAGAAGCATAATAGCCATACTGTCAAGAAGGGAAGTATTTTTGGCACACATCTAGTAACCAGATTTTTCTTTCCACATTTGATTACTATAAAACCTAAATCTCTTATTCAGTAGTGCTGACAGCTAAATGGCTGAGTGCCTTGGGAAAAAGACTAATTTCGCATTTGACTGTGTATTAGACATAATACCTGTAGATTTTGCCCTTTGATTGACTATCCAGCCCTCCCACCTTGTTAGCGGTGGGAGGTTAGAAAAGTTATTTAAAGCAAAAGAAAACTCATCGATATAGCTTTTCCAATCCATTCCTAATGAAAAAAGCCATCTTTCTATCAGAACTAAATTAAGTCTAGTAAGCATGGGGTACAATTTTGCCAAAGTTTTTTTTAAGGCTTTATTTATTCATTTGACAGAGGGAGACACAGCGAGAGAGGGAACACAAGCAAGGGGAGTGGAAGAAGGAGAAGCGGATTCCTGCCGAGCAGGGAGCCCGATGTGGGGCTCCATCTCAGGACCCTGGGATCATGACCTGAGCCAAAGGCAGATGGTTAATGACTGAGCCACCCAGGTGCCCATTTGTCAAACTCTTAATGGTATTTAGGACTCTAGGACATCTCCAAGTCTGTCTCCCTTAAACAATGTAGGGCTGCTCTAATGAAGACAGTTTTTTTTTTTAAAGATTTTATTTTATTATTTGTTTGACAGAGAGAAATCACAAGTAGGCAGAGAGGCAGGCAGAGAGAGAGGAAGGGAAGCAGGCTCCCCGCTGAGCAGAGAGCCAGATGCGGGACTCGATCCCAGGACCCTGAGATCACGACCCAAGCCGAAGGCAGAGGCCTTAACCCACTGAGCCACCCAGGCGCCCTAATGAAGACAATATTGCTGCATAATTTCAGGTTCCTTTTCAGGCTGTTTCAAACAGAACTGATTTGTGACTGAATGATAATTTGTTTTAATTCTCCATCTTATATTTGTAGTATAACTGCAAAGCTCAGAATTCAGAGGTTCAACTTGGACATGAAAATTTTAATAGTTAAAAAATACAAATTCTTTTGGTAAGTTCTATCATATCAATACTAAAGTGCTTATTTCCAGTTTTTCAGTGTAATATTTATCTTAATATATTTAACTTTTAAGCAAACTTAATGATTTCAATCCAAGATTAATAAAGTATTTATGCTGATTTCTACTCAACTATTACTGTGAAAGTGATTTCTTATTTGATGATTGGAAAGAAGCAAAACTTAAACACTATCATGTGTTTACATTTCCTTTGCCAGAGCAGCCATTCTCTCCATTTTACAGGTAACGTTAAATAAGTTATAAAAATGTTCACATCTATGTGCCAATAACTTATTTAATCCTCATAACCCCATGAGGTAGGTACCATTATTACCCCAATTTAGGTAAGGACTCTCAGAGGAGTTTAAAAATGCCCAAGACAACAGAAAGCTAAGAAATGAAATCTTGACTCAAACCAACCTGGGTTTTGTAAAGCCCCTGGTTGATGGTACGTTGGTTCAGTTCATTACTTACAATACTGTGAGAAGTTTTAGTATCAAGCCAAGATTTGAAAAAGAGTAACATGCAAAGATTAGATTAAGCAAGTGAGGATAGAAGACATTAAAATATCTGCTGATTAACAATAAAGCCTTGACGAAGTTCTTACAAACTATGCAGATGTTTCTGAAAAGGGACTAATAACATTTTATTTGCTTGAACTATAAATCAAATTGCAATAGGAAATACAGTGCACTTGACAGGACTGAGATGACAAAGTAAACTGTACCAATGACAGATCCAGGGGAAAGATCATTCATAGAGAAGTAGTGGTATTATTGAGGCCCAATTTTATCACAGGCTTTAACTTCTTTTAGTTTTTAGTGAGTATTTAGTGAGTTAACGTGGAATTCAGTGTTCCCATCATACTCTTGGGAGTCTGTATTCCAGTTGTGAAAGGCAGTAATACTGAGGTCTGAAGGGAAACACAATATCCCTACATTACTGATGGAGCATCGGCTTATTATACTGGGACGTTGTCATGCAAGCACTAATTCAAGAAAAGGCTTAGGTGATTCCTGTTACAAATGTACACACTTTATTCACCACAGAAAAGTATAGTCTGTCTCCCAATTTTATAGCATTAGGCATCTTCCAGATTCCTTTGTTCTTTCACATAATTTAAAGGATAACATAAGGAATGACATGAAAACCCCATCTAATCCTTGTCAGAAGCAAATTCACCATGAGTACTTGTAAGCAAATACACCACTGCAATCAGGGTGGTTTGATGTTTTTCCTTAAAGCACATGATCAGCATAGATAGAAGTTCTAAACTTCATTGTTTTTACCCTCAAAGGAGTGACTTGTTACAGAAATGACTCCCATAAGTTACTAATTGGAGCCTTGCTTAAATTTCACAGGTCTTGAAAATGCCAAGGATTATGATGTAGACATCCATAACTTGGCTTTTAAGTGCCACCATTTTTGAAGGGCAGTTAAAAATGTAAATGTGTGTATCTTTTGACCAAGAAACTGTACTTCTAGGAATCGGTCTTCAGAAATACTCAAAGGGGCCATTACTTACGTAAAAGTATTTATTGCAAAATTGTGAGTGGCCAAAACAACGAAAGTCCAAGCAGCCAACAAGTAAACAGTTAAGTAAAATCTGAACATCTATTCAAGAAAATACTGTGGAAAATACCATGTAGCTATTTAAAAAATTGTAATGACAGAGAATAAAATGTTGAAAATGGGAAATAACTGCAAATTGGAGAAGAAAAATAGTTCTATGATGGTGCCAAAAACTATCTAGAAAGAAATACCAAATTGACAGTAGCTAGTGATCTCAGAGGCAGGGCAAAGGGTTAGATACAGAGAACTTTATTTTTCTAGGCTGTACATATCAGTCTTTAGACTTTCATACTGAGGGCGCCTGGCTGGCTCAGTGGGTTAAAGCCTCTGCCTTCGGCTCAGGTAATGATCCCAGGGTCCTGGGATGGGTCCGGCATTGGGCTCTCTGCTCAGCAGGGAGCCTGCTTCCCACCCCCTCTCTCTGCCTGCCTCTCTGCCTACTTGTGATCTGTCAGTCAAATAAAATAAATAAAATCTTTTAAAAAAGGCTTTTATACTGAGCATTATTACTTTGAAACTAGAGAGACAGAGAGACAAAACATATTTTATGAATACTTAATTTAAGACAAGTTTGGTGGATTTATTTTTAGCAAGTACAAATATATCATTGATAACCAAACTGCATGTATGTTTCATGGGCAGTCTATTACATTTCTGAATTAAAGGATTGCAGTGTGGTTAAAAATTTTGTCGATCATACTGTGTCTATTTTGGAAATATTCCAAAATAATAAATGCTTGTAATAGAGTGGTAGTTCTTTATACTTTTCCTCCACTGTTCCCAGTTATATGTAACTAATACTAATTTCATAAGAAAAATTTAAAATACTGCTTTGTTGGAGAAAACCTCAATTATTAAGAATAAATACCTGGAAATTAACAACAGAAAGGAGTGAGTCAAACGGAGAAGAATTTATAAAAATTTACAAAAAGAAAACTGAAAAGAATATGCTGTATTTCTAAATTGACTCAACATTATGGAAACTCCACTTTTCAAGTTAATATGTAAAGTCAATATAAATCAATTAAAAGTCTGATAAAATTGTAATCAAACATGAAACCCTGATTTTAAGTTTACATGGAAGAATAATTCTCAAAAATAGTCAAAAGTATAACATAAGACTGAACAATGAACAGTGAAACAATTAGAAGAGCACAACCAGGAACAAAATTTAATATATGGTGAATGTGACTTTTCAAATTGAAAATAATTCAC